CCTGGTTAAACACATTTGGTAAATGAAACTCAAGATGGCCATTAAAAATTTAAAGGAGATTAATGCTTATTGACAAGGAAATGAATGTACAACTTAAGGTTGAATTAAGGAAGCGAGTTATGGGCTATCACACGTGGAATCCATGGCTAGCTCTGCATGCAAATGTTAGAGAAATGACAGGGGCACCAGCACCCAAACGCCAGGAGCAGTGAGTCTGAGTGGTGGCATTTATCTGTACAGACCCAGAGTACATTCAACAGGTATAACTTAAAAATCAGAGAGGAATGAAACCAAGCAAGGAAGAATAGAAATGGAAGACAAACCCAAACTTCCCTCTCCCATGTACAGACCCAGACAGAGATCTCCAGAGACACACACTGTACCCACCCAGACATCCCTCCCCAGGGCTGTGGGCTCTACAAAGACCTCCAGGCACTGCAGAGCACACACAGGCAGACAGCCATCCAAAAGTACAAGAAGGCTCCAACTCTTAGATCAAACCTGGTCACAATTTTATTCATCTCCACAACGGTCTTTCAGGGCCAAAGCTTTTAGAAAGAGCCCTCCTTCTCCTGTGAGCAATCATGTTTTCACATTGAAAACCTAGCAGGGGCTGGAGAGATGTCTCAGCAGTTAAGAGCACTTACTGCTCTTTCAGAAGACTTGAGTTTGGTTCCCAGATCATGTTGGGCAGTTCACAACTGTCTATAACTCCAGCTCCAGGGGACCCAATGCCCATGGCCTCTGCAGGCACCTGCAGTCATGTGTACACACCCCCCCACACACATACACAAATTTTTTTAGAAACCTATTTCAACCTGAGGCTGTATTCATAGGGACTGAACACCTAAAAGGAAGATAAGTATAAGTACTAAGAGTTTAGGTCTAGGGCTGAGGGGACAGATTAGTAGGAAACAGCTTGCTGAGTAAGCATGAGGGCCTGAGTTCAAAGTCCCAGCACTCACATAAAAAGCTGGGTATGACTGCCCTTTTGCGACATCACTGAAGCAGCACCCGCCAAAATGAAGTTCTATCCCTTTGTGACTTCTGACCGAAGCAAGAACCAGAAAAGGCGTTTCAATGCACCTTCTCAAATTTGGAAGAAGATTATGTCCTCCCCTCTTTCCAAAGAGCTGAGACAGAAGTACAATGTTCGGTCTATGCCCATTTGAAGGGATGATGAAATTCAGGTTGTACGAGGGCACTACAAAGGTCAGCAGATTGGCAAAGTGGTCCAGGTTTACAGGAAAAAATATGTCATCTACATTGAGCGGGTACAGTGGGAAAAGGCTAATGGCACAACTGTCCATGTGGACATTCACCCCAGCAAGGTGGTTATCATCAGGCTAAAGCTGGACAAAGACCGCAAAAAGATCCTGGAACGGAAAGCCAAATCTCGCCAAGTAGGAGAGGAAAAGCGCAAATACAAGGAAGAGACCATCGAGAAGATGCAGGGGTAGAGTCATACATACAACTGTCCGTAAAAACTGCCTAAATGATCCTTTGACTGGTGTGGTTAAAAAAAAACAAAGCTGGGTATGACCATATGCATCTGTAACCCTAGCCCTGGAGGAAGGCAGAGACAGGCAGATCCCTAGGGCTCACTGGCCAGCCAGTCTAGCCTACTTAGTGAGTGCCACATTCACAGAGAGACCAATGCCAACCTCTGACCTCCAGAGTTCTTGTATTGGCAAGCACACCACACACACACACACACACACACACACACACACCACACATACACACACCCATACACCACATACACACACACACACCACACACACACCCTGCATACACCTGTGCACACACACACCACACATACACACACACACACACACCCTGCACACCCCCTCTCACACACACTCCTCACATACACACACCCATACACCACCCACACACACACACACACCCTGCATACACCTGTGCACACACACACCACACATACACACCCATACACCACACACACACACACACACACACACACACACGCACTCAACATACACACACGTTCAGATTTAGAACCCCAGGTTTTGGCTTAGTCCCAGCCTCACCATTTACTATCTGTGTCTGTTGGAAGTTCTTTAGTCTCTCTGTTTTTCCATCTGTGTCTTTCCTATTGGAAATAGAGCTAATAATAACAACTCACCTCGGGGTTTTTAAGAAGATGAAATGAGGAGATGAAGACAGTACCTAGTGCATGGTCAAGTTCAATGGTCAGCATCACTGACAGTAACAGAGTTGTTCTCTTTTGATACTGGTCAAACCATGTCTGCTATTGTTGTTCGGTTATAAGAATGATACTTTGAAGGGGAATAAAGGCCACAGGCTACAGGAAGAAACCAGATGGGGAGGCAGCTCAGATGATGTCCCGCAAGATATGCTATTATCTCAGAGAAGAAAAACTGAGGAGGGAGCAGTGGCTGTCTTATAACACCCAAAGGGCTGAGCCACGGAAGAGGCCCCTGGTTCTTCCACGCAGCCTCAGTGCTATTATCCACTGTGTTGAGATGGCTCACTCCATGCACACAGCCTGTGGCCTTATCCAATGAACTCCTTGGGAGAAATTCCAGGCATGCTAAGGAAGACCACGGTAATCCATCAGCCTGCCTGGTCTTTACTGTGAGCAAGAACCAACCAGCAGGAGCCAGAGATAGATTTCCACTGGAGAAAAAGAAAATGTTTCCAATAGTCTAAATATGCTTTTGCAGGAGGTAGTAAGGTTCCTGTCACTAGAAGGATTCAAGCAAAGGCTGGAAATATCTTAGCTGGGCATCTGAACTTTTACTGCTCTGAAATGAGAATCTATGTATTCCCTTAACCCAATGTTTCTGTCTCTCGAAATAGAGTTGTAATTGCCACGGACTGAACATGAAATGTCCTCATGGCCTCGTGTGTCAAACTGTTTAGTCCATAGCTACTTTCAGAGATGATGGACCCTTTAGGAGGTGGGGACTAGATAGAGGAAGTAGGTGACTGAGTGATACCTTGGGGGTATCTTGTGAGTCAAAATCTTTCTTACCTTAGGGTTGTTTCTGTCAGGTATTTGGTCACAGTAACAATAAAACTGATGAATACAGAACCTGTCTTTTGGGATTTCACTTGGGTCTAGTAGTATATGCCATTGAGTAGATCCAGGGAGTGTGGTTCTTTGAGCCAATGAGCACCCAGGGATGGTGGCCCTCAGCCCACCCAGGAGGATTTAGTGGAGATGAAATGGCTGCTGGGTGGCCAAGCCCTGAAAATGATGGCACAATGGGATTTGACTTCTTGTGTTGTTCTATGAAGTAACCCCGGAGCTTCCCCTTGTGTTTGATAAGCTCACTTGGGTATAGCATGCAAAACCTGCTCTATATTGCTAAATCCTGTTCATCAAAAACTGCAAAATGGCAAAACAGAGATGACTAAGACTGTATCTGAAAGGCCCTGGGGACCCAGCCCTCTGCCCAGCAATGAGCTAGCAGTGAGCACAGCCCTGGAGAAAATCAGGCCTTACTTCCTCCTCCACAGGTCACTCTCCTCCAGAGGTGTTGGCAGCAGCAAGCAGCCCAGGCCAGTCGGGCCCACTCACTCCAGTCAGATGTTTCTTCCTCCAAAGAACATCCACTGTCAACAACATTATACCAAAGGAAACACAGACAAGGGGAATGTCCTTGGGCATTTCCTCAAACACTTCAAGTCCACAGAAAGTCTGGTTGAATGCTAACTCTCATGTCTCTCAGGTTTATTCTTTCTTGTCTGGCTCTCCTCAGCCACGATCTTCTTCAAGGCAGTGGGGCAGGAGGAAGGAGAAGGCCGCTGTAGCTACTTGGGGATCCTCGCACATTACAGAAGGTCTCTTGGGAACCCCAAATGTATCTGGACCCCCTGAGCCAAGACTCAAAACCAAGCCGCACACTCCATGGCTAGTATTTTTCATGCCCTGTCTAGACAGATAGGCTCTATTCAAGCCCACGTATCAAAGGACCATTACTAGATGCATCCAGCCCATCAAAGGGAGCAGAAAAGGGCCCCAGCATATTGTACCAGGTCAAATAGGGATCACAGCCATCACAACCTACATGAAATAGCAGACATGGGCATAGCCCTCTAATATGGGGCTTATACCTCCAATAGGTCAGCCCTGCTATGATATCTGCTCAAGTCACCATAAAAGGCACTCTATCCCAGCTCAGAGCAGGAAGAAAATTGGGTTCTGACACTAATCAAGGTCTCTGAGAGGCCAAACAGACAACAGTATTAACCAGCTATTAGTTGACTGTAGAATGTGTCCCCAGAGGGAAGTCATCTGATAATATGATGGGGGAGCTGGAGGGGAAGGATTTAACTCCAGCTGGACTGTTAGCATAGAATTACTCAAGTTTCATCCAATATGCCCCTCCTCTGGAAGACCAGTCCTAACCTTAAGATAGGGTACCATGTGCTGTTGGTAACTTAATTAGTCCCAGGAGAACTGCCTCCCTCTGTCCTACCAGACAGGCTTCCCTGGGAATAGGAGTTCTCTATCCTAGTGACATAGGGACACAGTGGCCTGCCCCTAGGAGTGCTCCCTTCTCCTTCTTGTGGGGACACAGAGATATCCTGTTATGCACCAGCCTCACATATCAGCTTGTTGGCCAGCTACTCTGTGGACACTCATGGCTTCTGCACCAGCAAAGCCAGGCACCAGGCCTAGTGACCTCCTGGGTCTGTACATTTGAGCATCTCATGCTCATCCCAATTCTCAAATACCATATATAAAGGTGGGGCATCAAAAGACAGTTATATAACTTGTTATACTACAACACATGTACCCTCATAGACTACATGAACTCCCCCATGCCCCTAGAACCTTCAACCACCACAAGTTCTATCACACATTAATAACTGCTGCTGGCCTCTCCCAACAACCATGATGGCCAGGCAGGTCATCCCCACCCAACACAAAAGTGAACTTGCACATGCCACCACACCCTCCCACATTAGAGCCAATGGGTCACTGACCCCCTAACTCCCAGACTCACCACTGGAACAGTCAGGACCTCCCCATCCAGGCTCACAGTGGCAGGTGTCTGGGGAGATGCAGCGGCCATGCATACACTCTTCTGTACACAGGGCTGAGGATGAAGGAGGGAGGAAAAAACACAGTGAGAACCAGCTATCTGGGCTAGGAGCAGAAGCCACTTTGTCATGAGTCTCTGATGCCAAGGATGCTCAGGATGTACAGCTGGCTGGAGGGACAAACATCAAGCTTCTTATGACTTGAGATGCTTAACTCTGAAATAGATCTAACATGAAGGCATTATGTCTGTCCCAGGCTCACTTCTTAAAGTGAAATTCCAGCCTGAGACAGAACAATTTAGGCTTTCCAATATCTCCTTCGGGGTCTAGGGGTGTAGCTCAGTCAGTCATTTGCCTAGCACGCATGAAGTCCTGGGTTCCACCTCTATACCCATAAGCTGGGTGTGACGGCATATGCCTGTAATCCCAGCACTCAGGAGGTGGAGGCAGGAAGATCAAGAGTTCAAAGTCATCCTTAGCTAAATAGTGAGTTTGAAGCTAGCTTAGGCTATGTGAGACCCTGCCTCATAACACAAACAAACAAAATAAAGCAAAAAAAAAAATTTCTTCAGGCTAGATGTGGTATCCCATACCTAGAATCCCAGGACTCAAGGGTTTGGGACAAGAGGATTGAGGAAAATTATAGACCAACCTGGATTTTTAACCTGATTTTTTAAAAAATAAATGGGGGGGGAGTCAGACATGGTGGCACATACCTTTAATCTCAACACTCAGAAGGCAGAAGTAGGCAGATCTCTGTGAGATTGAGGCCAGCCTCATCTATATAGGGAATTCTAGGCCAACTGGAGCTACAGGAGACCCTGTCTCAAACAAAGGTGTGAGAGGACTGGAGAAAGGGCTCAGCAGTTAAGCGCACTTGCTACTCTTACAGAGGACCTGAGTTCAGTTCCCAGCACCCACATTAGGCTGCTCATAACCATTTGTAATTCCAGTTCCAAAGATTCCAATGTCCTCATCTAGCCTCCGTGGGTGCCTGCACATACATGGTATACATACAGACAAGCAGACACACACACACACACACACACACACACACACACACACCACACAAATAAAATTAAAAAAAATTGAACCCTCCAGTGTTTGAGTTGTGGAGCTGGCACACAAGTCACAGCCCCCATCATACCCCCAGGCTCTGGCCCCACTGCTCAGCACATCTGCCTCTTCCATCTTTTGCTTGCCCAATTTCCTTCCACTAAGGCCCCTCATGTACCAGACTGCCTGACAAGAGCAGGCGCCTTGCCCCCACCTTCCTGCCCCCTCCCCAAACATCCCTATTTTGGGGCTCTCAAATGTCAGCAAATCCGCAAAGTGTACAAATGCTGAGGAAAAAGCAACAGCTAATTATAAGAAAGTAATTAAGAGAGACATCCACGATGATGATAATTGTAATTAGAAAGTGCCTGGCAATTTCTTATCATGCAGTCAAACGCTACAACCCCCGAGCTGCCAGGCTAGGCAGTGAGCGAAGTTTCCGTCCACTGCGCCGGTGTTGAGGAGTCTTATTGACAGCTAGTGTGAGGAAGGAAGATTATCTCTCCTCTTTCTTTCTCTTTCTCTCTCTCTCTCCCTCCCTCTCTCTCTCTCTCTCTCTCTCTCTCTCTCTCTCTCTCTCACCCATGTTTTTCCAAGGTCACCCTATGTTCCCCAAGATTTCTGCCCCACTACCTAATCCATCAGCAGAGGATTATAGAAAGCCCACTATTTGCTACCCCCACCAATTTTGCAAGCTCTGAAATCAGACTTACCATCAACCCTGTCAATTTCTCAGGTAGGCTCCAGATAAAGGGCTTTTATTCTGAAAGCACTGAGAATTCTTGCTGCCTATTCTGGCCTGGGCTGAGGTGCAGGTAGCCTTCTAGGATGAGTTGAAAGGGGCTGCCACTGACCCACCTACTTGACCTGGATGTTTACTGGGAGGGCATTGCCAGGTATGACAATGGGCCCTGTTATGGTTGGTGTGGGGCCTTCTGACCCCTCTTCAAATGCAGATGCTGCCCCTACAGCCACTGTTCCTGTAGTTACTGACTTAGCTCCATCCAGGCCCCCAAGTGTGGCAAACACCAGGAGAGCTACTTCAGATGGGCCACAGGTCCCTTGGTCCCTGCAGGACTAAGACCTCACATCTACACAAGTGCCTTTTGGAGAGGGCCCTGAGGTGTTCTAAGGATCTATAGAGCTCCAGTGCTGGAGCTTCCCCATCTCCTGCTGAAGACCAGGCTGAGCCTAGATCCAGGGACCAGGTCCATGTAGGACTCCCTTACTTGGCACTAGCAAATCTCGTCAGTCACTGCTGCTGTCCAGGACTTTCCAAACAAGTTCAAGTGGGTCCATATCCCTAGTACATACTGGACACCAGGTACCCATCTCCTGCCTCTGATCACATGCCAGTCCCTTGACCCTGCCAGCTCCCAGCACTCTCGTCAGGTGCTCTTCCTCCTCTTTAGCCATCGCTACAGGATGAGGCCCCTGTGAACTCTACATCTGGGCCTGTTTACTTGACAGCTTGTCAGCTCAGCTCAGCAAGGACACCACCAGCTGCTTGCTTCCCCGAGGGCAGACCCAGACCTCAACCCTGGGGTCTCTGGTAAGGTATTGGGAGTTGATTAGAGAATCCTGAACCTGCAGAGAATCAGGATTGGAAGAGACCTCAGAGAAAGAAGATCACTTCTAGCCCTTTCATTTTTATGCATAGGGAAGTTGAGGCCCCAAGGACCTGTAATCTTAGACATAGTATGGCCTGTCAAACAGGAAGGAGGGAACTCGGACCAGCTTCCTGGAGACAGAGGTTACTGAAGGTAGAGGGAGGTGAGCATGCCAAGATTATGACACCTTTGTGTTTTATCCAGTCTCAACATCTAGAAGGGGGATCACCCAGTTTCTTGCCTGTCCTCCCTTCCCTTTGATTCCAGAGACTTCTAACACTGGCCTACGCCCTGTACCCTCTCCCTAACCAGCAGGGATGGCCTTCGGGTGCTCTGAGGAAGCTGTATACTACACAGCCTTCTCCCTTAGTCCCTTCAAAAGTCTTAGTGACCCAGAGGACTGTGAATTCAACATCTCCCCACACACTGCAATCATAGCTCCTAGCTCAGCCCTGTGTCCCACACACAGGCCTGCAGTGACTCACACATGCAGGACAGCCATCCACAAGCCCTAGACCTGCTGTCCATGGATGTGGCTGGGTTCCTGTGGTCCCTCCTGACATCACTATCCCTCTTCATTATCCTGGTATTATGTCTGCAATATCTGTTCACTAAAAACCTCAACCCATTCATATTTCATAGGTGTTGTTTAGACAGATGTTTGAATCCTGAAATATTGATGACAAACACCTGAGGCTGGGATTGCCAGATCTGGCATTTGAGCCACTGTTTGAACACCTGGGGAGGAGGGAAGGGCAGTAGCTTGAAGGTCAGTGAAGATGAGACACCATGATTTCCAGGGTTGGGGCAGCCCACTTTAACCCCAGGGCCCCAGTAGTGACCAACCCCTCCACAGAAGCCTGGGATTCACACAGCAACTGTCCCTGGGGCATCAGTCTCTTTTCTGATCCTTAGTGCCACACAGATGACCGTCAGGAGAGGCTGGGCTTGTGCTCTGCCCACCTGGCTTCCTCCTCTGGCTGCATGGTTCTACATGGGGCTTTAGTCAAATCTCTCTTTCTACTACTGCATATCTATGTGCTATCACAGCCAGGGACTCCCAACACAGACTTGACGGGAACAGCCTCGTGAGGGGAGTGGGCAGCACACCTATACCCCACCCCTAGCCCTAGTGAGAAATCTAAACTGCTGCTCCCTCAGTCCCTTCTCCTCACCTTCCTACCCCACCCTGCTTCTAGCATCTTCCAACACCCTGGCATGTTGGGAACACTGCTGCTGAGAAGCAGGTCAACAGGGTTAGGAGCACACATGGCATCCAGAATGCATGGGTGCTATTTGGTTGCTCAGTTTACCTCCATCTCCAGGTCAACCCTCCCCTGTTCAGTGGGGGATAGTGACAGGATTGTTCTGGTTTGCTATCTGTTGCTGTGATAAAACACTCTGACCAAAAACAACTTGAGAAGGAAAGGGTTTAGTATCTTACAATTCCAAGTGACAGTCCTTCTTTGAGAGATATCAGGCAGGAATTCAGGGCAAGAACCTGGAGGCAGGAGCTGAAGCAGAGACCATGGAGGAATGATGCTTACTGGCTTGTTCCTCTGGCTTGTGCTCAGCATGCTTTCTTATATAACCCAGGATCACTTACCCAGGGGTGATACCATTCACATCGGACTGGGCCCTCCCACATCACTTAACAATCAAGAAAATGCTGCCTAGACATGCCTTCAGGCCAATCTGATAGAGACAATTCTCCAATTGAGATTTCCCTCTTCTCAGGTGTGTCAAGTTGACAACCAAAGCCAGCCTGACCAGGATGAACCTCACAGGCTGTGGGGTGTAAGTGAATTGATAAAGGGCAATGCCTGAGGTATGGTAAGCACTGTAGGACCCTTGCTTTTGATGTTAGCAGGGTCTCCTTGGGCTCCAGGACAGCATCCTGTGACCCTTGAGCCTTTTTTATCTCTCTCTCTGTCTCTCTCTCTATCTCTCTCTCTGACTCTCTCTCTGTCTCTCTCTGTCTCTTTCTCTCTCTGTCTCTCTGTCTCTCTCTCTCTCTCTCTCTCTCTCTCTCTCTCTCTCTCTCTCTCACACACACACACACACACATACACACACACTATCATCCTCACTCCTATCCTTCACTGCAGTCCATGGTTGGTGGTTTGTAGGAGTCTGCTGACAAATCTTTGCCAGGAAAGAATGCCATAACCTAAGTTTAAATCCCAGACCCACCAATTACTATTACTCTAACAGGACTGTGAACAGATGACCCCATCATCTATGCCTTGGGAATAATGGTATCTACCTCATAATTACTGTAAAGATTAAATGAAATTCTATGGAGCTGGTGATATGGCTCACTGGGTAAAGGCACTTGCTACCAAGCCTAACAACCTGAGGTCAATCCTTAGGTCCCACATAGTGGAAGG